TGGTCATTTCCTCTTCTGGCAAGTGCGACCCTGCACTCCCTACCACAGGGAGCAAAGGGCAACCTCACCGCCCGGGCGCCTATAAAATGTGGGTTTGGCTCCCTCGGAGTCAAGTGGATCCAATGGTCCTGCTCAGCACGGGAGACGAGGTGATTGATGCATTGAAGCGAAACCACCACACATCCATCCATCCATCCATCCATCCACAGCCAGCCATCCATCACAGGTTCGAGGAACTGCAGTCAGCTGCACTGTGCAGTTTATCGCCCGCCATCGGCTAATACATCAGGTCGGCCAGGTAGAAACATAAGGTAGACGCCTACAACGGCAAGGTTCCGGTCTATGACCATGACATCCAGGCCGGTTGACCCAACACGACCTTACATTGGCATACCAATACGAAAATCTACAAGATCATCAAGTACCGAATCTTAGCGAACGACTGTGCAACTTCCGGGCGAACATTACTTCATAGCTCCAAGTGGATCTGATTTGGAGCATCACACACAGGCCAGGACTTGCGCCCTGACAACAGGAGCGACTCCATGCGCCTGAACGGCCACGTCAATCAACAAAGAAACACTGGGATCCAGAGGGCGATAACCGCAAGATTAGCTGGCCAACCAATGAGCTGCTGCGAGGAGCCTTGCTAGCCGATGCGCTATGGCTTCATCAGGCCGCTCCAGCAAAAGAAAACACAAGGCACAGAGATGACTGGCAGCCAAGGGATCCTTCACCAAGCCGGTTACTTAGGCATGATTGTCCCGCGCTCTGCTCATGTCCTTTCTTTTTCCCCTCTTCTCCCCTTGCTTGTCTCGTTTCTACTGGACCCCACCGCACTTCCCTGCCACAGGAGCAGCTGAGACTGAGCCCGCTGAGGGATCATCCACAGGCATAGTTCGCCTGCTAGCGGTCTTAGCGGGCTAATTATACTGGGCGCCTCCGCCTGAAACCCTTTGGATCTGCTGTGCTGAGTGCCCTGTTCGGCCTGTTTTGTGCCCTGGCGACGCCCCCAACCCAGCCCAGAGCCACCCACCGTCCATCCATTGTGCTCCGCCAGCTGATGACTGCAGTGACCTAGGCAGGCAGGCAGTCATTCCTGGCCCCGGCTTCGAACCAGAAGTGGAGGCCTGAAAGGGTGAGGACCTTTGGCTGGCGTCGCCCACACACACGGCCTGGAACCCAACATGATGCATATCTGAGGTCACTCCTCAGTCCGCGACGGCTCCGTTCCCCGATCCTGACGGCGGTGGATTACAACTCTCATTTCACCTACTGCTGGTGTAAGCAGCCTAGGCAACTCTACGACAGGCAGCCTTCCAAGCAAATCTACTCTGTTGCAGCGGGGCGCCGCCTGTCGTACCAGCCTAAGCAGGTAGTGATACCGCTCCATCTCCATTTGCAGTGCTGAATGTCACCCCTTTTTTTTAACCTCCATCGTGCACCACTACTAGGTCTTAATACATCGCCAGCTGGAGGCGAGAATGTACTAGGTCCATACCCACGCCATTCCTGAGCACACGGTCAGCAGGCCTCGTCATCAAGCCGGAGTAATGGACAGTTAGCGGGCGGCCCCGTCACGAACTCTGCATTGCGCACCCTTCAGCTTTTATTGCCTCGCCTACACCACAGCCTGGCTGGCCATGTCACCATATTCGCGCAATCAATCCTCCTAAGGTTTCAAGGGCGCAACCACCTCCTCGTGTGTTCTAACAGGCCATCCCCTAACAAAGCTAGTTTGCTGCGCCTGCCTCTATTCATGGCGCCGGATTTTCTCTCTCGTTCTTTGCTTAAAGCCTGTCCACCGCAATTAACCACTAGCGTTTCGACACCGACTTGGCTGGTGGTGACTCATTCACGTTCTCACCCTGGGAACTCGTCAAACCGTGACAAACATGCCTGTCGGCTATGACGAATTCTACTAAAACAACAGACTGCGTGTCATTTCTCTAAATATCTTGGCCCGCTCATGCCGCCCACCAGACGGCGTTTCTCTAGGTAGCTTCGGGACAAGGATTCCTTTTCCTTTCGCGCCGCTCTGTCTGGGTGATCAACAGCCCAACAAAAATGCAGCCCTCAGTGTACACCAACTCTGCGGACGACGCGGTGACCAGGATGCGCCATGCTCGGGATTTTGACTCGATGTCTCATGGCGTTGCGGCCTTACTCTCAGAACTGACCTACTTTCTTGGCACGACTCGTTTCATTCAGGACGATATTCATCTACCCCTCCGTCCTCTGGCGCCCTGGGTAAATCCAAACGAGAATTCGGGGAGAATTGTTAGTTGTAAGCCTCGTCGAGCGTGGCCGTCACATCCTGGGATGATGCGTGCCCAGGCTCTGTAAGGCGGCCCAAGTGAGGGTCGAGAGCTCTGATTTACCATGTCTCAAAGGGAAGTATTGTGCTTCGTCACCTTGGCAGCCGACTGGGAACGTATGCCCCGTACCTCTGGAGACCTGAGACACGATTACCATTGGGTATGTGAAATGGCCGTCCAGCCCTGGTATTGACTGAGCCGGCTCAGGACTGATTGTCACCTCTCGGGCTAGACAACCTTTTTACGGGGCCGGGGAATGGAACCGCGTGGCTACAGTAGCACAGGAGCTGACTCGAAGTTGCTGGCCATGATGCAGATGATAGTGTTGTAATATCACATTGGCCCGCTCCTAGCGATGGGCAAGGAACATGTCTAATTCATAGGTAGGTGCCCAGTAGATTGCGAAGACATGTCCATTCCTCGATTTAAGGCGCTTCTTCTTTCACGGCTTTGATTGGAACCGAAAACGGGAGCATCGCTGTGCACTCGCATTTCCTACGTTGCATCACCGCCACCAACTCTCGATCATTTCTTACCGACCATCCATGCGTGCCTGACCAGTGAGGATCCGGCCGAAGGACAATCATATCATAGTGGGTATCCTCTCAGTACCCTAGAGTCGGCTGTGGTTGCGTCGAATGCTCATTCCGTCCCTCGAAAGCCAAGCGAGTAAGTGCAACTCGTATGCGTAAAAATGAGAGCTCTAGCGATCTCCGCTAGTGGCGATCGGAACTCTCGATGTTGATGGTGGTCAAACACACAATCAGTTGCAGCCTCTTTGTGTGTGTACACCCCCCTCCACTCCCTTCCCCGCATTATTCGAGGTGACGCTATAAAGGCTGCAACGGCGTCGCGAAAACACACCCCCACCATTCACTCCCAACAAGAGACGGCTTCCTTATCTTGTGTGGTAGAGTCGGTATAGTGTTTTTTCCTGCTTGATAATACATGCCTAGCCACACACATGCGTCCCGGTGGCCCTAGTTCATCACGATAATATCAAGGGCAAGGCAGATGCGGGTGCAGATGCAGCTGCAGCAAACCGCGAATTTGGGTATTCCCTCGCCCGCAAGTTGGCACATCACACATACACCGTCTTACGAATCTCAACTGGTGACTCTTCCAATGACTTGAGCAACCCGCTCCCTTCGCTTATCCGGATAATATACGTTTTGATTCTGGAGCTGTGACGACCACATACCCTCCAGCACTTGTATGGCGCATCTCGGCTAGAACATGCACCCATTCCTCAGCGATCGAAAACTTGAAATTAGCCAGGTCAGGGCCGACTCGTTTCGGGGCTGATCAACGTGACATTGATGCTCGACGGCGAGTTATTACACATTAAAGTTCCCTGTCGCCAGCCCGTCGCATTTCAAAGTCGTGTCTCTGGATCCACGGGGGCTATGAAGGCCTGGAACTCGAGGGGCTTGCGGTGCCGCAGATATGGAGCCAGCACAATAGCCCGGCTGAATTAGTGCTGGGCAAGGAGGTGCCTTCCCAGACGCAGCTTGTGAAAGACTTTAGCCCAAGGTTGGTGAGATGTTGTTGCACTTTGATGGGTTGAGAAATCTCATCGGCAAGTACATGCATACATACTGTACCGTGCAGGACTCGCCTGCATGCATGCATAAGGTATACATATGCAAGGTATGGTGAATGTATGTGCCTCATAGCGCCAAATGCAACCTCGGGCAAGAGAAGGCATTAGTGTTGCAGCCTTGACAGTTGCAACTCGCAACTAGGGCGTGGGATGTTATTGTTTCTTGCATTGTGGCTGCATGGACAAAGGGAGCAAGTGAAAGCGGGTGCGTTGGGGAGCCACCTCGTGCCAGTCTCCTGACCAGTACATGTGGCCGCTGCAAATGACCAGTGCTTGGCGAGGTACCCGGCAAGTCCCTGGATGACCGACCTTTAGCTGGATCTGGAAAAGTTGGATAACCTACACCTAGGATACCGCCGGAAGCCTCCCTCCCGCCCTTCTCGTCCGCCGGAGCATATGTTTAATGGTTGCGTTAGGTGGTAGCCTGGAGGCCCCTGCTTCTCCCGATGTGCTGGACGGTTAGCAGGTCTCTGTGCAGCGCACATCGCCGGCAACTTGAGACACTACGAGGATGCGAGGCATCCGGTCTGGGAGTACGTAGGTGCCTTACCTCCTCGGCCAAGCTGAATCGTCATGAGGGAGGTACGTACCAGCCTTCCAGGGTATCCACTACCACCCAGCGGCGGAAGGCGCTGGCTCTCGCGCTGCGAATGCCTGCATGGCGCCTGCTGGTAGGCCCAAGCCCGGCATGTTGGCTCACGGGTAGGCGCAGTGTGTTGCGAGCTCCACCACACATATTTCACCGCTTCTTTCGGGCTGCAGCCTCCACAACCACTAACCACTATCACCACCTCGGAGACACAGATCAATTTGCCGCTGGGCGGGAGACACGACGTGCCGTGGGCCACCCTCATACAGCTGCCGCACCACGGGCGCACTCCTCCTGCCTGCCTGCCCAGCTGCCCAGAATGCAACTACTCCCGCCACCAGCCCCATGATACACGGGGCTACCAGTACGTGTGCTTGAACGCCGCCCTGTTTGACCAGACCCACTGGGAAATATACCTCCCCATCCATCAACCAAGCCCCAGTGCGCCATTCAGCAGCAGAGCAATGTCAAAGATGATCACGAGGCATTTTTAATCCCAAGTACGAGCTGCGTCGAGCCCACCAAACCCCTCCTGCTGTACTTTGCGGGTGGCCAGCTCAACCGCAAACTCGACCTTGCGTCTAACATCCCAGCTCTGGCTCTGGCATACCAAGCCATACAGCATACCGCCGATGAACGTGTCGCCCGCACCCACGGCGCTGCTGCATGTGTTAGCCAATTCGTGTACCCTCTCCGTGGGGAATCATTGTTGGTCTGGCCGATCTAGCTGCAACCGGGTCTTACAGCCAGCCAGGTCCTGGCTCAACTCGAATGCACGTACTCGATAACGGCAATCGCCTTCGTTGGAACTGGGCAGAGGAAGCAATCCTCCTCCTTCGTAGACCGAGACAGGGCAGCGGCTCCGTCAGCGCCCCAGGTACACAGGGCCAACGATCTAAGACATGGCGCGACTGCAAGTCAGAAGACAGGGTTGTCCGTAGGGGTCTCACAATGTTGAGGTCTTACACTTTCGGCGGTGTTTCGCTTCTGAGAAACGCCTCGGGGGACTGGTATCCACGACCCTGATCATGACGGTTTTAGCACCCTACCACCTTTCCACAACCGATCAGGATTTGACCGCATGCTGTGTTGTTCACCGTACCTCGGCCCAACTCCGCGAGTAGAAGACGACATCCGCCTCAGCCGCCAACTCTGGAAGGCCTGGTCGTCCAGGCTTCTCAACCTCGACGCTGATCCGCGCCTTGGGCTGTGTTTTGCGTACATGGCGAATGCAACTGAGCGTTGTGTCTGGGATTCGCCCCTGCAAGGACAACTATCAGTGATCCTGTTCTGGACCTTTATCCCTTCGTGAGCGGCGGCACATGGTCCCAACGGATTTGCCCGTCTTGATCCTCACTGGTTTCCTCTCACCTCAAAGTGCCACCAGGTTTCTTGGTCCGCGTCAAATGCCCCTGCCTTTTCCTCGAATTCGTCAGATGTCATTTCAGGTAAGTCGTTGTAGTTGATGATAGTGCGACTGCTGCTCCGCTCGTTCCGGATGACATAGCTACTTGCTGCTTCCTCGTACGCCTCCCGATAGAGACAGTGGTCAAAGTTGACAAGGGAATGTTCTCCAAACGACCCGATGACCCGACGCGTTGCTGAGGACGCCCTGCTAGGGAGACATGTAATCAGGTATAGTCTAACAGGTTCCCGTGGCACAAGGATCTGCTGGAGCACCTCGAGCGAGTTGGGGCAGTTTCCTCCACGACGAATGGACAGGCTGGTCGCACGGAGCTTTGAGTCTTCTTCCGGGAAGAACGGTACACTAGCCGGACGTAAGTCAGTAGTCTTACATCGTAGACACGGTTCACTCGTTGGCTTCCCTGAGAATGGTATCTAAGTAACACGCCCCTGACAATATCAGGTGCTTCATGGTTCAGAATATGTTCCAAGGCCAAAATTCGAGCTGTTTGAAATGCCTAGTCACGATGGTCTCGTTCAGGCGCGATCACCACCAGGTGCGTGCGTGTGGTCGGATCGCCACGGCGAGAATGAGGTCTCTGCAAGGAGGAGTTATGCAATGTGCCGGGCTATTGTTTTGCCGCGTTGCTACATTCTTTCCGCTAACAGTGCGAGTGATAGAAGCACAACTCAAACCTCGGGCTATCGTGGCTGGATGTCGCGAGAAATCAAATTCCATTGCCTATGTGGTCTAACTCATATTCGTTTATGGTTTTTTTTTGTATCTGGTTCGAGTCTAATTGCCCACTCCCCTGCCCTGCAGCGGCATCAAAAAGCATAGATGGCCCGCAAACTCCTGATTTGATATAGGTAACTACGACTCGTGTGGAACGACGACATGTCCCTTGTGTATATGTGACGAGGACTCAGTGCTCCCACTCCTTGAAGCTCTTCTGCTTCTGCCTCGTGTTCCAGCCCAGCTTGCCGCTGATGCTGTTTATCCAGTCCTCGCTCCGGCGACCCTCAGCCTGGACGGTGGCGAAGGGGTAGCGGCTGGCGCTGATGGTGACGTAGTCGCCGGGCTTGAGCTCGACGCGCTCGCGGCCGTCGAAGCTGGCCCAGCTGGAGGTGCGGGCGTCGTAGGGGACGCCGACGCGCAGGACGATGGTGTCCGGGAGGATGATGGGGCGGAAGGAGAGGGTGTGGGCGCAGATGGAGGTGACGAGCATCACGGGGTTCTCGGGGTGGCACAGCGAGCCGCCGGCGGCCAGGTTGTAGGCTGTAGAGCCGGTCGGGGTGGACACGCAGATCCCGTCGGCGAGGATGGAGGTGAAGTGCTCGTCGTCGCCAAAGAGCTCCGTGTACGACATGGCTGGGAGGGGTTGGCTGTTAGTTGACTCGTGTTGGATGGGATGCCGTAGGCGTAGAGGCACCGTCTTTGGTATTTGGCAAAGCTGAGCATGGAGCTGTTTGACTTACTTGGGTTTGGCCCCCGATCGACAACGATCTCGTTCAGGATCTCGTAGGTTCCGTCGGGGCGGTGGGTTCGCGCATCTTCCTTCTCCTCACCGATAAGCTCCTCCACCAGGTCCCGTGTGTGATTCTCGTCCTCGTCCTCGTCGGATGCGCCTGACTTGATGGCTCTGGTTGATCGTCGTTTGCTTCTCATCACTGTGCCTTCGAACCGTAATCTGAGGCTCACGGTGACGCCCTTGCTAAACGCGGATTCTAACGTGGGTGCATAATCTTCAAAGTCGAACTTGGTGAGGAAGCCTAGACTCCCGAGCGCGAAGCTGAGGACCGGAGGTACTATCCTCTGGAACAGCCAGCTCGCGTATAGCACGGTGCCGTCGCCGCCGAGGGTGATGACAAAGTCGAACATCTGGGGCCGTGACCTGCACATTTCCTCATCCCAGTATTTGAGCCGCCTCTTTATGTCCAGCAAGGCTCGTTCGTACTCCTCCTCGCCGGGGTTGCCGTAGGTCTTGGCCGCCTCGTCCACGAGGCCGGCCACGTCGAACTTCTTGTTCGTCCTCAGCGTGTCCTGGACGTAGACGGTGTACCGCACGTCGCGGCACTTGTCCAGGAGCCACAGCGTCACCTCCCGGGTCTTGGGGATGAGGTCCTGGTCGTAGACTTTGGTGAGGAGGAAGACGGACTTGACGCGGAAGCGGATCCGCATGCTGCTCAGCCGCCTGCTGAGCTCGCGCACGCCCCAGGCCATGTCGCTGAGCTGCTTCTTGGTGAGCGTGCGGCTGTGGACGTCCTCGTACTGCGTCAGGTCCAGCTCCGAGAGGCTCTTGGTCATCTCCCTCGTCCACGCCTGCTGGTCCGCCTGGCCATTGACGTCCTTCTCTAGGCTCTTCAGCTCGACAATCGCTCGCGACTTGGGGTGCTTGGTCCCGTGGCCCAGGCCGTCCATGGCGGGATGGAAGGCATGATGGCTTTCGCCGACGGGCGTTGTGCTGTTGCTGGGGCTCCCCGGGGTGAGGTATTGGTCGGAGCCGGCGTCGCTGGCACCACCTTTGGAGGCGCGCCTCTGGCCTTCGAGGAACTGGTGGACGATGCATTCGTCGCGGCGCACCGGTCGGGGCGGCAGTGCAGGTTTCCTGATTTCCGACGAGACCATGGAGCTCTTCCGTCGGAAGGAGCTCGAGGGGTCAAAGGTCACCTGCGTTTGGCGGCTCTGGTCAGCGACAAGCACGCTCTGCTGGGTGCGACTGGCTCCGGCTCAACGTACCTCGACACTGGGGCAGTCATCGTCGCTGGCTCCAGGGTCATCGTCGTCGAATACAACGTGTCTGTTTACGCTTTCAGGCATGGTGGTGGGGTGGCAGATGACGTTTCGGATGAGGAGGGGCTGATCTGATCCTGTCGTGGGGTGTGCCTTATCTGCGACCAGTCCGGCAGTGTGCTATGGCTCGTTGTGGCGAGAAGAAGGAAGCCCGGGACAAAGACCTCATGGGAGGGACTGGAGACCGGGCGCAAGCGAGGCTTTCGCGGCAAAGTGCGGACGGTGCTGGGACATGACAAATGGCGTTTCCCGCCGCCAGAGACGAATGCCGGCGGCACGATTACATGAGTCTTACGAGGGCTTTAATAAAGCAACAAATTGACTTTTGGTAAGGGCTGAAGAAGCATCGAAATGCGGCTACGTCTCAAGTACCGACGAGGTACCACAAGGCCGCCTCGATGGAATGCTTGTGGCAGCCACATCATAATGCTTCCTTTGATGCAATAATAGATATTCCTATCTATAAATTACCTAGTTAGCAGTGAATTGATATATCAACTTGTTGTCTATAAATGTTGTGGCCTATATTAGAAGTCCCTGTTATTCCGACACCCACTTGCCGATTTAGCTCTGAGACGCTGGTGGAGAGCTGCTGCACCAGCCAAATTCAGCTTCAACACTTATTACCACTCAGTCAAGTAATGCACAACATTCTTAGTACAGCCTTATCTACCTATGATATATCGAATAGCAAAAACACCTCCTTAATGCTATTCTACGTACAATTCTCAGTGGACTTCTATTTCACCCTCCAATGATACACCAAGAACCACCCTCTCATATACGATTGTGATTAGACACCGCCAAATTGAAGCTACCGGAATGAACGATATGGACCACCTGCTCCAGAGAGCATTCGCCCGATACTCGCTCACTCAACTTATCCCATCAATAAATCCCACAATGCGTCCTGCTCCACGAAGTCGTGGTGGATAATATTCACGAGCCAACAATCATCCTTGATTCCGTTCAGCAGCTTCTCGCTCTCTGATCCTCGGCTGTATACTCTGGCCCATTCTCCCCAGATTCCAAACGCTTCCTCGCTCCATGCTCGGAAGCTGACCTCCTCGATGATGGTGGGCGTAACAATTTCCTTGCCAGGGAACACACCCCAGGTCACCGCGTTGGTGTCGGACGAGGTGGTGTTGCCACTGCTGGCAAAGGTGCTCAAGTTTGAAGAAACAAAGTCACCCTTGGCGTTCAAAGCATAAAAGCATATGGTTCCCTCTGCAGCAGGCGCCTTGAGCTTCTCCAAGAGAACAGACCAGTCTGAGGAAGAAAGGAAGAATTCAACGAATGCCTTCTGGAACACGAAACCGTTCGCCGGACCCCATCCAAAGGTTGAGTCTGATGAGCGTAGTCCGTTGACGGCAGGCTGAGAAGCCACCGTCCACCAGCCCTTCGTGTTAAGCTTCATGAGGTGGTTGCTGATAATTGAACTCTCTGGCAGTAGTTCTTCTTCGCTCCAAGGAATAGCAGCCAACTCTCCTTTGATATGTTTAACAAAAAGATCATTGATCTCCTCCCAAGATTTGGGGTGGCCCCAGAGTCTGATGGCTTGGGTGGGGGTCATGTGAATGTTCACACCGTAGCCGTCAATCTCGCCATACGCGGGTGATCGAGAATCACCAAAACGACCGTTTGGAAAGTCGTCCCATGTAGCCTCTCGTCCCAAGACGCCCTCACCTTCCGAGATGGCCAAGGTGTTGGAGCGGGTATTGGGGGTTTCTGCACGAAGGCCAGCTTCCTGCCCCGACGCCTCCCATTCAGGATTTGAAAGTTGGCCATCTTTGACGATAACTCTGTTGTGTGGGTCGGAGGCCACCGAAGACGATTTGCGCCTTGCAAACCGGGAGCGGATCTTTCCAGCTGGATCGCCATTGATCTGGAGTGTGATAGGGGGTCCATCGACGATTGCTTCTTCTTCATCTGGAATCTTGGGGATCAGATGAGTCCTCTCTACAATGAACGAGACAGCCTTCTCGAGATTCAACGTGTAAAAGTGAAACCCCTTGGGACCAGGTGTCTTGTTCTTGACGACTTTGATCTTCTCCACCAGTTCACTGACAATATCGACACCGATCGCTTTGACTTTCTCATCATCTCCTTTGACGGCATCTAGACGTGAGTATACATCCTCGGGTACTTTAGCGTGACTAAGTTTGGTCGTTCGTTTGATCATCTGATAGCTCTGGATGGGCATGAGACCGGGGAGGATGGGTATCGTTTTAAAGACACCGCTAGGATGCTCTCTGAGTGTATTCTCGAAGTGTTCGTAGGCTCGGATATCGAAAAATAACTGAGTCATGATGAAATCGGCACCGGCTGCCACCTTGTCAACGAGGTATGGGAGGTCATGCTCAAGACTCTGTCCAAGAGGGTGGCTCTCGTCGGCATGGCCTTCTGGGTACGCAGCAACTCCGATGCAGAAATAGTCGCCGTGCTTCTTGCGGATATATTTAACAAGGTCCAGTGCCCAAACAAGCTCTTCAGGATCATCGTCAACCTGGTCCTCGGGCATCTGATACTCGTCCTTTCGTGGCGGGTCTCCTCTTAAGGCAAGGATATTTCGAATTCCCAGCTTCTTTGCATCCTCTAGCGCCTTATCAACAAGACGGCGACTCATGTTGGTGCATGTGAGATGTAAACATGTAGTTACACCGAGTTCTTTCTGGCACCATTCGGCGAGTTCGATCGACTTTTCGGCGGTTGATCCTCCTGCACCCCAAGTGATGTTGACGAACAGGGGTCTCAATGCTCTCTCCATACGGTGAAGTCGGTCTTTTAAATTGCTGAAACCCATTTCTGTCTTTGGCGGGAAGAATTCCAAAGAGAAATAGGAGCCATCAGCCGGCAGAGCGGCGATCTTGTCTGTAATTCTCTCCATGGCGGACTGGTGTGTAAGGTGTTGGCGAGGCCAGTTATTCGGCTATTATCGGAAGGGGAGGTAGGAGGAGGAATAGGAAGGACCAAGTCGGATGTCGATGATATTGAAATGGTATTCAGTAGAAGAGGGCGGCCGTTGGAAGGTGAAGCCACGCTACTCCGGGCGCAATTGGATTGAACCGGACGAGAGCTGGCCCAATTAGAGGGACCAGAGGAGCACAGCCTGAGCTGCTTGTGGAAGCAGACTTGGTATAATTCAGGCTCGACGAGGGACAGACCCAGAACATCCACTGCGAACGGAGCGACGTCTGAGTTTTGTTTGATGGAGGGGCAATTCTGGAGGTACCAATTAAGTCATAGGTATGGTGGGGTCCGGTGCCGGCTGCTCCTTGACGCACGCCTAGGACATGACATAGTTTGGCCACACGATCAAGCAGCCTCCAGGAGCTTTAATATAACTATCGAGATGCAACATGTTAGCGTCGGATCCCAAGTCCTCCTTTGTGAAGTTCTCCTCATCAACACATCGCCCTAGCCACGGGAGCCCAGATCCGTCGTCCAGCAGCGCTCCCCGAAACTCGGAATTCGGAGCCAACTTGCCTTACCCTTGCAGTGCAGCACGGCGCCCACCGCATTAGCATTAACCGCACGCCAAACGCATGCCGACAGATTACCGTTACAGTGGGTAGCTCCCCCTGTAACAGATCACCGCGCTCGGACTTTAACGCTGGAGCAACATCGTGCCATACAGCTCTGATTTTTTCGCGACGCTTTTACTCCCCTTCCACCCTCCTTGCCGGCGGTAGCAACATGAAAACGCCCCAATGCATCCCCTCCGTGGAAGGCAGTTAGTCTGCGGCGCACTCAGAGTGCGCTCCGTGCACCCTTTATTCAGATCAATCCCGAAAACCAACCTTCGACAGGCCCCAAACAGCCTTGCGTCCCGACGATGGTACGCTTCGCTCGACTTACCCGCCCTCGACAAGAAATGGCGTCAAAGATGGAATGAAGCCCAGGATGATAGTCGGGTCGCTAGTACATCATCGACCGCCGACCTAGACACGGAATACGTGCTGCCCATGTTCCCATATCCATCCGGTACACTTCATCTTGGCCATTTCCGAGTGTACACCATTACCGACGTTGTCGCTCGATATCGCATGTTGAAGGGTGACAAGGTCTTCCTGCCCATGGGCTGGGATTCCTTTGGGCTACCGGCTGAAAATGCGGCCATGGAAAGAGGAATTGCTCCCAATGTCTGGACCGAGAGCAACATTGCTAAAATGAAGGAGCAACTTGAACAAATGAACGGAAGTTGGACCTGGGACCGAGTATGTGGAAAATACTCTTCAATTAACTTCAGAAAATAGCCTGACGCTCGATCTCGTAGGAATTGACGACTTCCGATCCCGAATTCTACAAACATACGCAGAAGCTGTTCCTCATGCTACACGAACGAGGACTGGCATATCAGACCGAGGCCGAAGTAAACTACGACCCGGTCGACAAGACGGTGCTGGCAAATGAACAGGTAGATTCTAATGGCCTGTCTTGGCGATCTGGCGCCAAGGTAGAGAAACGGAAATTAACGCAGTGGTTTTTCAAAATATCCGAATTTCGGGAAGCACTGCTCAAGGACCTGGACACACTTGCTGCGGGCGAGGCATGGCCGGAACGTGTCCTGGTGCAGCAAAAGAATTGGCTGGGAAAGTCCAAGGGCGCACTGATCAAATTTCCTGTCATGGCCCTCGGCCATGACATCAAGTCTGCGATTGAAGTGTTTACAACGAGGCCAGATACTTTGTTCGGCGCGCAGTACATTGCGCTCGCCTCTTCGCACCCTATCGTGGAGCAACTGGCCAAAGCGGACCCCGAGCTGTGCGCCTTTCTCGACACGATCCCAGCACTACCTGCGGACTCTAAAGTTGGATACCTTTTGCCAGGCTTGCGGGCGGTGAACCCACTTGCATATCACGAGGACACACCCTCTGCTACCAAGGCATCGATGCCAATCTACGTCGCCCCATATGTTCTAGGAGACTACGGAGAAGGGGCTGTTATGGGTGTACCTGGCCATGACGTTCGAGATAATGCCTTCTGGAAACATCACCACTTTGACCAACCCGTGCGAATGGTACTTGCGGCATCGGAGGATGAATCGACCGAACTCCTTCTAAACGAGCCATTCGTAACGCATGGAGTGATGACTGAACACAGCGGACCATTCCGTGGAAAATCCTCTGTGGAGGCAGGCGAGATGATGGTTAAGATGCTGGAGCAAGCTAACCTAGCTGAAGTTGTCGAGAAATGGAGACTACGGGATTGGCTGATCAGCCGTCAGAGATACTGGGGTACGCCGATCCCCATTATTCACTGTGATTCCTGCGGTGCAGTTCCAGTTCCTGAAGAGGATCTACCAGTGAGGCTGCCCGAGGTGGATGACCACTGGGCAGATGGCAAGACGGGCAATGCGCTGGACGCTTCGCCGGACTTTGTCAACACCGCATGCCCTAAGTGCCAAGGCGCGGCGCGACGGGACACCGATACAATGGATACTTTTGTCGATTCTAGCTGGTATTATGCACGCTACGCAGATCCGCATAACGCCAAGGAATTGTTTTCACCAGAGGCCGGGAGAACGCTCCCCATAAACACCTACCTAGGTGGCATCGAACATGCCATCCTGCATTTGCTCTATGCACGGTTCATATTCAAGTTCTTGGCAACAACACCAATGCTGCCCCAATACTCCGAGGAGGACGGTGCGGTTGCGGAGCCATTCCGGAGACTAATCACTCAGGGCATGGTCCATGGCAAGACATATGTCGATCCCGGCAATGGGAAGTTCCTCAAGCCGTCTGAAGTAGACCTTTCCGACCCCAAGAACCCCAAGGTCGCTGCTACTGGGGAGCTGGCGACAGTGAGCTTCGAGAAAATGTCCAAGTCCAAGTACAATGGGGTTGATCCTACAGAGTTTATAGCCAAGTACGGGGCCGACTCAGCGCGCGCGCACATGCTGTTCCAAGCACCTGTTGGGGATGTTCTCAACTGGGATGGGAATAAAATTGTAGGAGTGACCAGGTGGTTGCAGAGAGTACATGACTATATCTCAAAGGTAGCAGAGACAACTACCCCCGAACAACACAGCACAGTGCTTGACAATCTCTCGGAGAGGCATGCAAAGCTTGATAGCATGAGCAAAACCGAGCTTGCCGAGTGGGATGCGGATACCGCGGTATGGCGAGCGGTGCAGTACACGATTGGATCGGCTACAAAGTCCTTTGAGGAAATCTACTCGCTGAACACAGTCGTATCCGATCTTATGACTCTGACAAATACACTAGGCCATCACAAGGAAGCAACGGGCGTGGTCAAGCGGGAGGCATCAAGTGTTCTCGTTCGTATACTTGCCCCGATCGCGCCAGCTTTTGCTGAGGAGTGTTGGAGTGTGTTGCACCCCGAATCTCGGACTAGCGTTTTCGCTCGCGGCATGTTCCCCGTCCAGGACGAGAGCAGCCACTTGCTGCAGCCACGAAACCAGCCGTGCGCTGTGCAGATTAATGGCAAATTGAGAGGAGTAGTAGAGATCCCACCTCCTCCCGAAGGTCTCGAGAAGGAAGCTCTACAGAAATGGATGGTTGACGCGATCCTGGAGACCGAAGAGGGCCAAGCCCGGTTCGGCCAGGAATCGCTATACGACCTTCGACTCGCGAAAAGGGCGATCGCGGTGAGGGGTGGGAAGACGATCAACTTTGTGTTGTAGCATGATGTATTATATGCAGGGAGCAGGAGTTGGATGCCCGCAAGGACAGCACACACGAGAAGGATGGGAGGGCGGTGGCGCCCAATGATGATGAATGTATACTAGAATACTGCTATTCCCTGTACCCGGATAGATTCATACACGAAGCAGATGACTTAACTTTTGGCGCTCGTCGAAAATGGGACGGGGAAAAGGAGGAAAAGAATAGGAGTCATTGGTGGGAGTCTGAGACTGGTTTGGTGCGATCAGTCAGAGGAGATCACCTCCAAAATAGAGAAGCAATCAAGCAGATTAAAAAAACGAACTAAGCGAAAGAAAGTGTGAGGGCTGGCACACCGACTTGACTTGCTTTGACCTTTTGAACGGCTAGTTCCAGCCAAAGCCAATATTTCCATGTCAGCAACCATTCGGGAAGGCGGGGGTAGGGAGATCGCGAAGCCACGAGCCAAGGTAAGCGGGACGAATCTTGTCATGCACATCATTTTTTACAGATCCTTGATATTACACGTCGGGCGGCATGGAACGGACGGCGATGTATCAACTTGCCGTCTGAGAGTAGGTCCGCGCGTGCGTGTTAGTGATTTAAACGCGGCCGCTGCTAGAAACCAAGCGCAATGGCGGCACGATGGGACCCTCTTCGGTGATTGTATGTAAGCCGGCAGTGGCCAGTTGGGGGGGTAGGTCATCATCTTGTCAGGAAATCTCCGGGGATAGAATATTCCTCGGTGGGCTCTAGAAGAACACGCTGGGTGCACACGGCGCTCCTCAGGACGACTATCATGGCCTCTTCGGCTTCGTTCTGGAGGCAGGCGAGTGTGATGATGGGCAGACCACCATGTGGTTCCATCCGCGGCCTGTTTCTTAGTGACATGGGTCGGCCGACGGATGGATTCGATCACTCATTTCCCCCCAACAAGCCCCATCGCGCGTCCCCATGGCGTTGGCGGCCGATGGCTTTTTCCCTACCAGGTGCTTGGGCCTAGCTCTAGCGGGTGAGCAGTCTGCTATTGATGGCATTAGGAGGCCCAGCGGCCCAGGAAGATAGCACGCTGGCTGATGCCAGAACGAGGAGACGATGTCGGGTTCTCTTGGGTGGGCTCCTCCTCTCTCAGCATCCATCATCCCCAATCCTGTTTTAAAGGCCTGTCGCTGCGCTCTTTCGCCCAGGCCCTGCCCTTCGTTTGCCCGTGGGCTTGCTTCCGGTTGGATCGGATTTTTCTTCTCTCCCAGCAGGTGATGTGATGGTGTGCCCGTGTCAATACGACTTTGTTCATCATTTGCATCATTCTTGACCGCTGCCAGTCCATCAGAGACAAGTCCCTCGCTCCCCTCTTCGCCTTGTGTCCGCAGGCACCTTTGGTATTCGCATCTGCCTCGTCTTCCCCGCAAGCGCACCAGGTAGAACAAGTCGAAACCCCCATCGCAGTGACCTCACCCAAGACCGAGGCCAATCCAGCCAATCAACCAGGCTCATTGCCAACCCAACCCACGACAATGTCTCAACCACACGCTGAACCGACGTCACCAGCGCCGGCGCCAGCAGCCAGGAAGCCGTCCACCATCCCGTTCCTCTACCGGCTCCCGCTGCTCTACATCGAGCCCCTGTGCGCGCTCAACGGCGCATACCTGCTCTACCTCAAGCCCCGGAGCTTCCTCGAGGCCGTTTCCCCCCACCACGAGACGCACTTCCCCTCCGCGGCGTCGTCGTCGTCCGTCGTCGCCAACGCATCCAAGATCCTCAAGGCGGCGACGTCCTCCTCCAAGGCGGCGGCGCCCGCCCCGCTGCCGAGCCTGGCCTCGGTCCGCGTCCTGACCGACATGCTGGCCGGCATGAACCTCCTCTTCGCCTTCAACCTCGCCATCACCCTGCGCGTGGCCGGCAACGACCACCGGCTGTGGCGGGTCCTCTGCTCGGGCATGCTCCTCTCGGACGCCATGCACGTGTACGCGACCGTGAGGGAGTTTGGCTGGCCGGCCGTGCTCGACTACTCGTCGTGGCGGACCATCGACTGGCTCAACTTTGGCATCATGGGCTGCATGACCGTCGTCAGGATGGGCGTTGTTGCCGGGATCGGGCTCGGCAAGGGTAGCAGCAGCAGCAGCAAGAGCAAGAGCAGCAAGAAGAGCAGCAGCAGCAGCACCACCACCACCGCCGCCGCCGCCCCCAGCACCGCCGCTCCCGCTGTTAGCGAACCACCCAGCGACAAGAATGCTGCCGCTCCTAGTGTCACAAAGAAGGCCAAGACTACCAAGGTCGGCAAGAAGACCGCTGGTCGCGCAAAGAAGGCTGAATCGGTGACTGGAAAGCAATAGCCAGGAACGCCCTGGTCTGGTCCCGCTTCTCCGTGGGACGGTGATGCCGTTATGAACTTTTTATCGTTTTGTTTTTTTAGTATCAAAATAAGGTTGCACATAGCAAAAAAAAATCAAAGACACTTTGCTGAAACGGGTCAAAGATTTAGACTCTCCTTATCTTTCCTACCTAATTTTTGGTCTTTCTTGGTCAGACTTGAGACTTATATGTTACGAATGTGATTTGTACATTTATGCGATCATTACGAAATATGCAGTCATATCCCAATGCACCCAGAGGCGGAATTGGGATGCGTGATTGGCTGACTTGTTTGCAGCCCCCAAATGATCACCATGTTCCTGGCGGCCACGGAAGTACTATCTAGCTATTAGAAAATATTACAGTTCTACTCTAGATTCTATCCTTCTCCTCGCCATCTCAATCTATCCTTCTCTCGGCGTCCTCGCCCAGCAGCCGGCGCTCCTCGTCCTCGGTGGCATTTGCCGGCCGCTCTGGGTAGAGCACATAGTGCTGCCAGATGAAGACACCATCGTACGCCATGCTCGCGTTGCCGAGCACGAACTTGACCGGGTTCCCGGTGATGCCGCTCCAGTCGTGCTGGAGGTAGCTGTCGATGCCCTGCTGTGCGACGCTCAGGACGCCGCCGAGCACGTCCAGGAGGATCTGCCAGATGCTCCAGCCCTTTGTGCTCTTGTTGCGGTAGTTGGCCACCATCTGCGGCGTGTACTTGACGAGGGTGACGACGACCTTGACGTAGCCGACGGCGTAGACGACGTCGAGGCCGCACCAGTCGACGGCCGGGTCGCCCGTGCTCGGGGCAAAGAGGACGACGAGGACGGTGACGATGACTCCTACGACGCAGCCGGCGCTGATGCCGAGGATGGGACGACTAGGGCTGGCGCCGCGGCTCGGGGCGAACCCCCATAGCGACTTGGCGAAGAAGTACTGCGAGGTGACGATGAGGCTGAGGACGAGGCCGTGGAGGGCGAAGACGATGTCGTTGAACTGGACGGTCGGGGTCAGGCCGCCGTGGCGGGCGGCGTACTGCGCTCGGACGACGGGGGAGTAGTAGAAGACGGCGTTGGAGGCAAAGTACGCCGTGAAGCCTGTGCGGTTGCGCGACGAAGAGTCATAGCTTGTCAGTCTTGTTTTCCTCCGTTTAGAGCTCCGTTCAGATAAGATGATGGCATGACGGTGGGGATTGGGCTCCCGGTCGGGAACAAGCAGGTATTAAGGGAAGGCTCGGGGAAGTTGCGGGAAAAGCCGCAACCGTCATGCGCAGACGAAGCAGAGGCACATATAACAGAAACAAATAAAGAGAGTAACAGAATGGAAATTATTATGGAGAAGGGACAGGGGGACTTTCGGGGATGAGGCGCGTACCGAAGCAGTTGAGGAACGGAAAGGCAACGGTGGTGCCGGAGGTAGACCGGCGGCGCCAGTTGAGCAGCGCTTGCGGGTAGAAAGAGGCGCTCCAGGCCACGAAGTAGATCCAGCCAAAGGCGGCGGAGACGAAGGGGAGAAAGCCACCGGTCATGGTGGGTGGCTAAAGGAAGCCGGTGTTCTCGAGATATGGAGGAGGAGGAGGGAGAAGGAAGAGAAGTGCCTCAGACAGGGGAGAGAACTCGGAGGTAGGAAGCAACTGGAAGGATGGGGAAAACGCGCGTGATCCTGCTGGCGATGCGATGCGAAACGTAGCAAGCGACTACATCACCTGCACGGCAAGAGGTAATTACCACGTACCTACTGATGGATGATGTGTGGGAAGGCTGGGACGAGGTGGGGATGCGTCACGTTGTCTGCGATAAAAAGGCGGCGATTGCGATTTCTACGAGATAATCACCTAATCTTACCGATCGAAGGTCAAGAGAGGCCTAAGCGCCGGCCTTTACACCGGCCCAGGCGCTGGAATTGAGGCCGGCAGTGCGACAGAGGCGGCGATAGAGCGGTAGGGCGATAATCGATAATCGATAGCAGCCACCTCCTTGCAGGTAATCAATTAATTTAGTCGAGCATCACCATCTGTCGAGTCCACCGGCGGGGCCGTGGAAGCTTCTAAAGTGACATTCGCTCTCGGGTCGGGACTGGCCTGGACTGTACAAGGATCTCGCCATCTGCGATGCGCTGCCACAGCGATAGATACCATGCGAATGGATGCGATACGACCTACCGGTGCATTCAGCTAGCCACGGGCTTCGTTCGGCATCTTGACAATGGCTGTGCCTACCACGGCCATTCGGCGGTGCCTCCGTGTCCGCGACTGACTGGGCGGCTGCAGGGCGCATCACGAACCGAACCACCAGACCAGGGTTGCCGATCAGAAGCCAGATTCGCGTGTACATGACACCCTCGTCCCCCCTGCTTCGGGCCAAACAAGCGAGACGATGGCATGAGATGGTGGCGTGGGTGGACGGGATGTGATGCGATGGGTGCCAGTAAGCCAGACCATCATCAACGACAACGACAAATCAGCATCGCCCACAACCTATCACCATCACCATCACAGCAACAGAGGCTGGCTGAAAGGCAACGCTGACAGGATCCGTTCTTTCGCAAGCTCAATAGTCGATCAGCTTCCCGGTAGGCTCAGGCACAGGCCAGAAAAAAAAACAGCAGCCCAAAACACGAATGCCCGGTTCTTTTTCTACTCTTGAATTTAATCACACCACCAACAAGCCTTCCCATGGATCTGACTGCACGGACACTCAGATGGACGGACTGGGCCGTCACCGCCTCCTGATTGAGCCTCAGCAGGCTTTCTGCACACACCCCCTTGGAATGCCTCCGTTGCCTGCCACCATCCGGCCTATTTTGGTGCATTGTTTTGATGGAATTGCAGCTTTGGGTCCTGTCATCTGCCGGGAATAATCCCCTTCCGGTTCATCCCACCCAGTTGGGTCCCTTCAGCTAGGTTCATCCATGCGTGCCATCAACGACCACCCTTATCTCACCATGGCTGTGGTCTGACTCGCCGTCATCTAACTATTCTCCTTCTCAGGCACACCGACCCAAACCTTGTATTCCAAAGGGGGTGGAAGGGGGGGCGTGCGATGACTCTTCTATGCTACGCCAATGCGATACCATGCCGTACCGTACCGTAACCGCACCATCCCATGCCGATACCATACCATATCGATGTGCTGGTCGATAAGCATGGACTCTCAGATGTTTGATTGGGAAAATTCTCACCACGAAATCACCCGATGGCTTACATTCAAGAATATAAATATCCAATTGCTCCCATGCCTCAAGGGGCTGGCCTCCCTGTCATTGTGTTTTGAATACCAAACCATATACATTATACACACCATCAGTCTACCTGCTAGCTCTGACTAACACTTCATATCACCCCTTGCCTCTTCGCCATACTTGGTTATACCGGACTGGCATACATATACATACTCACGCCTACAAATCACATCTACATACACATACACATACACATACACGCCATGGAGACGAGTAATATCACCAACATGATGCCATCACCACCAATGTCGTCACCGGCCTCGCCTTCATCCGAGCCACCTGCTGGCTTCCTTACTGTTCCTCTGGAGATCCGTCTCCAAATCTACTCCTACCTTCTCGAGGTTCCAGAGTTCTCCCCATACACTCTCCCCTCGAAAAAGGCTCCTGTGGCCGGCGCTCTCCTGCGGACCAATCGCCAGATCAATTGGGAGGCCACACCCTACCTATACTCCCACAACACCTTTGTTGCCCACCCATCTCTCCTCGCCTCATTCCCACGCCTGCGTCCTAACGTCAGGCCCGTTTCGGATTCTTACGCCATCTCTCTCATCCACCGCTTCCACCTCACTGTTCACCTGGACTGCGATCTCCCTTATGACGCCAAGGCTCTCACCGAGTCCTTCACCGGCGCCGAGGAGCTAACTCTCCACCTCGTCCAGTTTGGGTTCTGTGGCGTCGGCTATGCAAACCTCCGCCAGTTCGAGGGAATCCGCGGCGTCAAGCGTGTGATCATTGAGGGCAGCACGACAGGGTTCGAGGACTACATCGAATGGCTTCGAAATACCATGATGAGCGAGCCGGATTCGCCGATTGAGGAGTTCAAGCACGAGCACGTAACCCTGACAGATCGTCTGGCACGGGGTTACTTGGCCTAATCTTCTCTGCCGAGTTTCTTCTTCCCTCCACCGCCACCTTTTGAGGTCATGGCTTCTTCTTTCTTCGCTTCTTTGTGTTTTCAATTTGGATCGAAAGGGTTTTCTTAATGTCTAGAACGGGGATGGATCTAGAAACGTCTTACATGCATATTTGTTTTGGGCGAGCGTTGTGATATTACAGCGGAGTGCAGAGCACCCGCGAGAGAGAAAAAAAGTTGGATAGAATGTTTTGATTCCCAGCGCGGCCAAAACAACCACGCATGCATTTCCGGCCAGATATATTCCTCTAATTCCCACTGGTATTTTTTTAGAATTTAGAGAATAAAACTACAATGAAAGATTTAATAGACGAACTTGCATCTACTTTCAGCTAACTAATACATGCCCCCCCTAATTTAACAGAGGCTCCTTGTTCCCGTCACCGAGGGCGGGTTTGCTCGGCCCGAGGCCGGCTGTCTCGGTGGAGGAGACGCGACCAAAGAAGCAACAAACTCGGGCGGCAGTGGGGGAAAGAGGAGCGGGCTGGTTCCATATATTAAGGAAATCAGCCCAAAAGCTGCCCACCTCGCCTCAATCACCTTACTGCTACGAACGTGACATTCTTCGCGCACTCGCTCGCCAGATGACTGCTGACGCAAATATCACAGGGACACATAAGGAGACGGAACAAATGGTAAGAACACAATAAATGACAAAAAAAGGCAAGTTACCAACGCCGTCTCTGATGCAGCTCAAGCTCAGACACATCATCAGACCACCAATGCTATATGTCCTTCTAGGGATACATCTCTCTTCTCTCCTTCACTCTCCCTGTCTTTATCTCTATCTCCCCTTTCCTCCCCCGCAATTTGAAACCTCGTCTAAGGCGCCAACCGACCGACCAAACCATCTAGATACCCAGGCGGGGGCTAAGAGACCAAAGGGGGGTCTATCAACGTTAGGATAACAAAGGGAAATGGTAGCTTTTATTTTATTCTCCACCGCTTCACGATGCCTCGCAGGGCTCATGGAGACCCCGGGCGTCGTGGTGGACAGGTGTTGGGGATCCAACCTGGCTTATTGACCGCCGCCGCCCATGATTCGGGGCAGTGTCCGCCATCCCTGCTCGTTGGGGAGCTTGGGACGACCAAAGTCCTGGTCGAGGTCCAGGATGACCTTGAGAGCGTTGCGGCTACGAGCGAACGGGCTGGTGTCCAGGGCGCCCTTGATGTGTGCCACGGCGCCAGCAACGCCGCCCTGGGCGGTGATGTCGGCCTCTTTGCCAGGCATGGGGAGGAGAGTTTGGAGGACTTCGTACGCGGCCAGGGTGAAACCGAACTGGGGCGACGATCGGAAGATACGGGCAGGGCCACCCTTGAAGAAGGCCGTGAAGCCCTCCTCCTTCCAGATGGTCTTGGCGGCGTGTCGCAGACCGTTGTACTGGGCATCACCCTTGCGGGCCTCGACCTGCAGACGCGTCTTGATGACGTCCATAGGTGTCGTCAGGTAGGCGGCGGGCATACCGGCGATGGCACCGGCAGTCAGGAGCTGCAGGACACCCAGCTTGTGGGTTTTCGACTCGCCGAAGAAGTCCTTCTTCAGGTGGCTGTAGGTGGGGAAGTAGATGGCCGAGAAGGGCACATCACGGAGAAGACAGGCGGAAGCACCCTTGTACAGTCCCATGAGACCCAGGTTGCGGACAATCCACATGGCCGATCGCTTGGGTGCTGCGCTGCCGGTTTTAGCGACCTCACCCTGGACTTGGAGACGAATCTTGACGATTTCGAGGGGGTTTGTGAAAACCTGGAGAAAGGAGGAAGGTTAGCTTGGGCGCGATTCTCGACACCATTGCGCTTGACGTGAGGCGAAGCTAGGATCCGAGGTAGGAAGGGAGAACTTACAACTTGGCAACCACCGGCGGTACCACCAGAAATGACTTCACTGAACCAGTGGATGGAGCCATCCTTCTTGGTGAAGAAGTTACGGGCCAGGTCATTGACAGTCAGCTTGATGGCCTTCTCGGGGGCGACACCAACAAGCTGGGGCAAAACACCGGAGTACAGGCCTCGGACACCCTCGTTGCGGATGACCTTCTGGAAGCAGTCGATGGAGTTCTTGTACAGCCTCTGTCCGGGCTGCGCGCCACGCTGGTTCTGGAGACGGGTCTTGACGAGATCGATGGGGTACACCATGAAGGCACCGAAAGCACCGGCTATACTTCCCAGGCCAAAGTTGTATGCCGAACTCAGGACGCCGTATAGGATTGAGCCCTGCTTGACGGTGGGCTTGAGGGCAGCGACATCAATGTCGTAAATGGGGTTGCGCCACGACGGGTCCAGGACCTTGGCGAAGTCGCTGAGGCCCAGGCGACCGGTCTGGTTATCCAGGCCAGCAAAGTGGAAGAGGATGTCAGCCTCCATGGGGGTGAAGAGGGAGAAGCGGGTGATCTTGGCCGCCTCGTTGAGGAACTCGGACCGTGTGATCTTGCCATCGGTAGCGCTCCTGCCCACGGCGCGGCGGACAATCAGCTCTACCAGGTCCATCTCCTTGATCATGTTCTGGAATGCGCGCACGTTGGCGTACGAAATCTTGGAGCTGACGGAGATGTTGCACAGAGTCTGGAGGTTCTCGAGCAAGTGGTCAGAGAGCTTGTGCTTGGCGGTTTCCAGGATGATCTTCTGGAAGTCCTCGGGATCAATGTAGCCATCGCCGTCCTTGTCAAGCAGCTGGAAGGCTTGTCGGATGCGCTCTCCCTGCAGACCGCGCAGCATCTGGGAGAATTGAGGGTAGTCGAGGGTGTGCCTCTTGCTGCCGCTGCCAATGTACAGCTTAGCCCACTCGGAGTCCCAGTCAAAGGGGATGTTCTCGGCGCCTCTGTTGAGCTCGTAGAGCTTTCGGAAGTCCTCGTACTTGACATGGCCGGTGCGGTCGACGTCGAAGAGTCGGAAGGCAATCTCGTACTCAGAGTCGGGCTTGCTGAGCAGGTTCTCGAAAACGCCCCAGTCGGCGAGGGTGACACGGCCGGAGTTCTTCCTGTCGGCTACGCGAAACAGGATCGAATACTGTTCACGCTGAATCTTGTGCTGTCGTTCCGCGACATCAATTGCATCGTAAGCTTCCAAACGTCTCGTAGATGCCGCGCGCATGCGGAGCAAAGCATAAATCCCCCGCTAGGGTAGGGCATAGGGAAACTTACGTAGTCCTCGCCGGAGGGAACAACGGCGTTTGTGAACTCATCGGGGCCCAAGTAGAGCTCGCCCGTCGCAGGATCCTTGATGGCATTGGCCGCGAATCGGGCCTTGGTCTGCGCAGAAACCTGGACAGGCTCCTCGGAGCCCACGAGGCCCTCTTTGACCGCTTCCTTCACCACGTCGATCTGCGCCATTTTGGCAATTTATCTAGAGAGAAGGCAAGAGTGGTTTCTTGCGATCAAATTCAATCGGAAAGTTATCTTGGTCTTGTGACCGAAAGGTTGGCGGATCCAGGGACAATATGTCTGACAAACGTGTCCGCCAAGACCAGGTTGAGGGTTGGATCCGTCGATCGGAACTACTTCGCTATCTCCACGCACGGGGAAAAAAAAGTCGCACGCCGTGGGATGGAGGTCGTTTGCGCAATTTCTATTAAAAAGCTCCCGGTTTATTTTAAGGAAAAACGAAAAAGAAAAATCGATCCGAGGGGAAGAAAAGACGATTAAGGAACCAGATTGAGGAAGCTACCGTCAAAGAGTCAAGCTTCGAAGGCCCAATTCCCCCAGATTTTCGAATTCTAGAAAGCTCGAGGCGTGTCGGAAAACGCACGGGATTCTCCCAACTCAAATATTAGTAGTAGATCACCAAGGGGCTATGCGCAGGTAGTGGTAGCGCAGCGTCACGCGCCAGGGGGGGGGATAATCTTCTAGTTCGGTCAAGGGGGTGTCCCAGCGGTTGAACGGAATTGGCGGATCAACGTTTTCCCTCGAGCAACTTGCACGCTTTGAGAGCTTTTAGGAGAACCGGAAGAGCGCAAGTACTGAAGCGGTTCGCCGTGTTCCCCGAGTCCCACGTGTCGCATGAAAATCCAGATTCCAATCTATATAAGATGCGGACCCTAGATGCTGCAGAGGCGTCTTAAAAAGCAAGTCAGACCCGATATGCGCTGTTACCAGGTCTTCTAACCCCCCACGACCGGACCGGGGCTGCAGAAGAGGCAGTCGCTGCAAGGGCTTGCAGAGACCTGTCCCGCCCCAAGACCGGCAGCTAAGAGCAGCTGAGCAGGTGAATCTGAGCGCACGCGGCGGGTTTACCCAACCATTATTACATATGCCTGTGGTACAGCTGCTACAGGCGACCGCTACCGCTAACCTGCCGTGCCTGCCCGCCCGTGGAGCTATTGATGGGCCTGCTACTGGCCTGTGACACAGCTTCTAACAGCACCGCACCGCAATCGGCCAGCAGCATCAAAACTGGGTCGGCGGATTCCCGGGTCTAGTTCGGGATTGGTCCGCTACTGCAGCAGTCCACAGATTTCCAACGGAGACTGGTTTCCCAGAGGATCAAGACCCCCCCGAAACGAGGCTCGCTCACGGGAAAACGGAGATTGATTGTACTGGCCAAAGCCGCTAAGACTAGATGCTGCGGCTCCATACCGCATCGCAGCTAGCGTCTATCCACCAAAACCATCACGAGACTTCCCCATATCCCCAGAACAGAGCACACGAGGGGAAAGAAAAAAAGCCCTCTCCTGCTCGCCGGAGCTATCCCCGCACGGCACGACAGCTCAGACTGACCCTCAGCTACCTACCTTGCGTGAGGCACTTCCAGGGACGACCTACCGAATCCATCACTCGTTTGCTGTCACGCATGTCCCTGCAAATGAACCAGTAAATGAAGTGTTTCTATTAAAGCTAAGGTAACTGCAATTCCCTGACGCCACCTTTGAATCATGCCATTTGAAGGTCTATTAGAGACAGAACAGATGCAAAATCCCATCATACGATGGGCGAAATTATTGATTTTGAGTCATACACGTTTATGGTCTTCAGCAGGGTTGAAAAGCAACGTAGATCTCAGGGTTCTCCCACTCTCGATCTGTACCTGCCGATCCCGCCAATGTGACGTCCAAAAAATCCTCCAGTAAAGTCGGTTGTTTTTGGCAAGGGCAATAATGTCTAGATTAATAGATCCCAACGCCGCCCCCTGGTATAAGCAAACAGCAAAGCCTATGGTGCATAAAACAGAAAAAGGAAAAAAGTCTTGGTGGTGCGAGATGGATGCAATGTGATCATAAACTCATAAGGTCATTCCAACCATAAACAAGCTGTGATGTGTGTTGTGGTTGGTGGGCAAATTTCGGGCTGGCCAGGATACTTGGGAAGCCAGTATTAAAGTGGTGCGAATAATCAGCTTGAAATGCAAGGGTCAGGAAACGTTATCGCCTCATAATTCCCAACCCTTCCCATTCGCAAGTAAGCATACCAGAACCCGACGCCTCAATAGGCGTTGTTTAAATGAGAGAGGCTCGAAGGAGAAGGAGGAGCAGCGCGCGCGATTGTTGGCCTCGAGAGCAAGTCTCGAACAATCCAAACTAGCCAGAAAAGGAGCGCTGGCTTGATCAAGGTCTCAGGTGCCTTATGTTTCAATAGGAACGAGATGTCCTTGGTGGTACAACTGATCTGAGACATCATCCAGGCAAGGAGGCTGTGAAGGTAGCATGCGGAGTGACGACGTGTACTGCGATAAGGCGAATCCTTGTTCAAGGGCTTCCTGAACAACCAGCGAGGCCTCCTTGAACCTCTTGTCGGAGTACTTTTCATAAACGGCCCCATGGTGTAATCGTGGCTGCTCACAGCAACCAATCATCATGCTCACGAGAGGTCTGAGCTGGTTCCAGGTGTAACCCGAGTAGTGAACATGGTGCTTAGTCTGGATATTTGTTAGCTTACTATCTCTTTCTGAGGATCCAAAAATCCGGTGGAGGATGCGTACCCATTCCCCCTTCTGCAAAATCAGTCGTGAGAGACAATGCGCCCCTGCAGCCAGGTAGCTTGGGGGCGATGCGACAAAACGCTCGTCCATAATGGTTAACTCGAGGAAGTACTTGGCCAGGGTGCGGGTCTCGAGATCGTAATCATCAGCCTTGCTTACACGCCTCAAGAAGCTCATTGGCCCAGGCCAGCCAAGCTCGAATCCCAGCATACTAAGCATGAAACGCTCTGCCTTCAAAATTTCCTCGGCGGTGTAGCCATTATCAACCATATAGACAATCTCTTGAAGTGACGGGCAGTTGATCTCCTCGTACTTGGAAGCCACGAGGATGGCAGTAGCGCCAACGAGCTGGAGCTTTCCGATCGACACAATCTTTTGGGACAGGAACCGATCGATATAGTTCACCGTGAGGAAGAGTGTCTCTGGGAGCAGGCTGAACCGGCTGTGAACTTGAACCAACCAATCCATAAGGACCGAGCGCATTGACCATTGGATCTCCGTCTGGACATCCATGTAATGCGGGTTGGGGAGCATCTTGACCTGTGGATACCGCCACGTCAGTAAAGGTTATGCAAAAGGAAACTACTATGTCTTGACCCACCTCAAGTTCTCGCATGTATTCAAAGATCTCTTCACCGTATTCAGCAACCATGCTAACGTCCCAAGCTTCTTCTTCAATATCTTCGGGCTGGCGGGTTTGCTCCACCTCGATTCTTGCGTCCTCTAGTTCAAGTTTAATTCGAACGGACACCTTGGGCTGGAGCAACGTTGTAGGGCCGCCAGTTGTCATGTCCCGCGAGCGGAAGGAGTGGGCTGTGGTGTAAGCCTGGTCTTGATCATCATAGTCTTCATCGTCCTCGTCCCAATACTCTTCCGGCTCCGAGAGCCCTGGCGCGGTTCCATCTGCGTAATTGGCAGGCACGACTCCGGATTCCTCAGATATCTCGGGCAGCCGAGAAGGCATCTCGAGGTGGTTTTCGACCTGTACAGATTGGCTTGCAGCTTCCACCAAGACAGGACCAGCCTCGTCACTATCAGTCTGGGTTTCTGGAGATGATGTGACCAGTGACTCGGTAGTTACACTCTGACTTGTTGATTCAAGAATGGTCTCTGTCCTCTCTAGCTGTCGGCTCTGGGTCCGACGGAGCGTTGGTTGCCGTTGTTTGAGTTGAGGTTGGCTCTTATGATGGCGCGGTTGAGGGCGAGTTTCAAGTGAGCCCTTCTGCGATCCTCGGCGCTCATGTGAAGCACGGTTGGTATTCTGCATCTTGAGTGCCTCCCTGGTCTCAACATATGTGGCAACCGCGTTCTCACGGGGAGCAGCCTGTTCCAGTTTCTTATTGGGCTCGTTCGCTCGGTTCTCAAGGCCGCGCTTTGCCTTGTTGGCAACAGCAGCAGATCTCTGGGCCGGACGCGCAAGACCATCTTTCGACACAATGACGTTCTCCTTGTTCACGGGCCGCGTGGCATGGTTAAATTGCCCAACAGATTTTACCTTGACAACCTTTGCGTCTTCTCTCTTCGCGCCCACGGCTTTTGTCAGGTTAGTCACGTCGCCAAAGGCTGCACGCTTTGCCTGCCCACGGAAACCGGCCGTTGACGCGTGAGAGTTCGCGATATTCCCGGTCGAGTTGTGTCGCTGATGGATGGCATTCTCGGTCCCCCGAGAGCGAAAAGGCTAGAGAACCCAGGATGGTTAGCATGAGCACAGAAAGAGCCGAATACACGTCGAAAAGCATGCGAATCAACGCGTCAATATAGGTGTTGGGGCTTCTGCTTACTCTAGCGTCCATGGTTGGGGAGGAGAGTCTGATAATTGGCAATACTAGTCGCCCTGCGCGCGTCGCGATGGACTACCCACGACAGGTAGTTGTCTTCGGTCGGACTTTCGATACAAGAGTCGTACGCGAGTTGTGTGATATTAAATTGGGGCTTCGCTGGGCGTGGTGTTGAGGGTATTCGATAATTATTGGGTTTGGGAGGTTGGGAGCTCTCTCAGGGAGGGCAATGGGCAGAGTTGAATTGACGCAGAAAAGCGAGGATGATGGCCCTGGGAAGGCTCGATGAAGTTGAACAGAAGAAGGACAGACCGTTGGATCCGGAAAGTGATACAACCAATAAAGTAGGCGAACTCGCTAAGAAGTGGCCTAAAAAATGGTCGCCAGTGAGGTTTGTGGTGATGTCGACACTATAAAGGCTCTGGAAAAGAAACGAAGGAAAAATAAATATCGGAAATCAAGATAAAGTTTGGGGCAGAGGGAAGGGAAGAACGCAATCTGACGGCTGCAGACGCTTGCCAGTCGCTGTTGTGCTGTGCAAAGACCAGCTAAAGCTCCTGAGCTGGCTATTTCATTACTCGCAATTCCAATTTAAAATGACTGACTGAGGCCCTTGTTTGTTTGTTTATGTCTCTGCGGTCCAGCATTAAACGCTTTCACAAGATGGGATTGGCTGGCAGCCGCCGATGCATAAAACGGCATGTAGCGCACAGACCACCTGGAGATCACTGCACATAAACCATCCGTCGTCACAGCGATGACGGGATTTCTGGGGGTCCCATCAGCACCTCAAAGCCAATCTCTTGGCGCAGAGCCGTTCCTTAGTCATCGCGTTCGCAGCTATTTTGGGCTCAAATTAGTTGATGACCTCTTGCCATGAATGCGCCATCCATGTCCGTCGTAAACCAACTGCCCTTTCTTTGTCTCTACTTGCATTGCGCTTTACCTCAACGGACGGGCGGTTGCGCTTGGGCGGGATTGGAATGTATCAGCGCGTGTGCCCTATCTGGCGCTGGTCATCGCTCTCCTGCATCTGTCCTGCGAACCCCCCTTTGATGACAGGTTAGACTAATCCCAATCTGGAAATTTGATCTCTTCTCGCGTCTCCCACAAAACCGCGAAATGTACATCTTTACACTTTTCTCTGGTGATATGTGCCGTTTAGTAATGCAGTGTCTGTGTGCTAATAGAGAAACATTGCCTTCTCATCCCTTTACATTTTTCATCCGTTGCCGGCCTCCACTTCGTCGCAGTTTCGCAATTATTCGCGTAAAAACGCGGTTTCGGGCTCCTGAGATCGGCCTGCGCCAACATTTCGCGTGGTCACGTGATGACTTCCAACTTCGAGATATCTAAAATCCTCAACTCCCAACTATTATCCCATACCCTGGACTCTTCAGCATCGCATTATTACATTGCTTTACATGTTGACAACCGACGCTCAATGGGCGGCGCAATTTTGGCACTACACATTAATTATCAAGTATCGTAGTGATTTGTGCTTTCCCTCCGACCTCAGTTCCTATTACTTCAGCCCTTGAAGATATCCTTCTCCATGGCCTCGAAGCATCATAGAACTTTTCGCCTCACTCCCTACGGACTCTCGGGTCAGGCCGTCACACTTCTGGATCTCAATAGAACCCTTGCCCCCTCTTTCCCGAGAGCCGCCAGGGTGGCCGCGTCAGGCTAGTTCAAACTACGAGAAGCCACCACTTTTTTAATTTTGGCCCCGTGCTGTGGAAGACATTTCCTGGTCTTGGTAATATCTACATGGATAGCTATCAGAACGGGGAGAGATCCCGAGATGGCACATCGTTTCAGTCCGCCTTGACTCATGATTCCAACCTAGCCCGATAGGACTTCCAAATAAGAATGGAAGGAAATCATGCGTGGATCCCCATGTGAGCGCACAGGGCACGGGCTTTGAGCAATGTCTCAGTACAATTGCTGGTCAGTTCACGATCGCATACGTTGTGAAAACAGAAGTGCCGGAGGTCCCTTGTGACAGACAGGCATCATTGGAGATCCTTGCCACATCGCTGGCCCCCGGCTAACCTGAGAATAAATATCCGTACCTAGGCATCCACACATGATGATATCAATTGACAGAATCACCTCGCTCTCGAGCGCATGAGAGCTCTTGCCTGGCTCGCTTGATTCGAGTGAATATTATTGTCCCCAGATGAAGTCAACCGGCCTGTGCAACTATTAGCCAAAGCGCATTGCCCTTACTCATCAAATGAAATGGGTCAGCAATGCATTCTGACAGCCCTCGTCTATTGGCTCTGGATCATCACAACAGCTGGTCCACTCCAAGCCACCGCACCAGCAATACCTACGCCCGTAATAATGACAATACCCTTTTTGATGAGTGGCTAATTATACCTCTCAGATGCCGGCGGGAGTGTCCTTGTATCTTGTCTCAAGAGTCGCATGAGTGTTCCCCCTTTCGTTCCGGAAGTATCGCTACGTACCTGCGTAGTATTCTCTGCCTGTCCCGCCATGTGTCTGTACACTCTGGTTCAAGCGGGAGGTAAAGTGCGCAATTGCGTGGCACCAACCAGTAATAGCCTTCTGTCCGTCAGGGCAGAACTTGCTCCATGTGTCTACCGCACGGGGAAGAACAGGCGATGCGTTTTGGGTCCCCCCAAACATGCACACCTAAGGCAATAGGCCATACACACCGTCTTTTGCGCCCACCAACCCGCACGTTCGTTCACACACAGATTTGCCACGCCATTTTGCCGTCAATTCTTTACTCGAGCCAAGGCCCACCGCAAATGCCTGGAATGGCTACCTTGTTAACTTAATTAACCTACCTGGCCTTGACACCTGTGGGTGGGTAGAGGGGCATCGTCAAAAGCCCGTGCTCTGCTCTGGCACAAAAAATTCCCGAGAATACGGCGGGCGCAATGGGTTCTTTGCTTCGCCAGCAGTTTCTTTTTGCGACTATCGAGGGAATACGCCCAGTAGCAACACCAATTAAGTGGTTGGCATAATAACAGTGCCTGTTCTGTCTCACTTGGGCTGCTCTTCCCAGCGAGCGGGGCAGGATCAGAGCGATTGTCATGCTGGTCATAAAACTGCCTAATACGATCCTTCATACATAGCACACACCTCGTGATAATCCTAGATGTCGCCCACCTGTAACCCAATGTCGCGAGATAAATAGAGCCATGATGCCCGACCATATATCGCGACCAAGAAAAACAAACAGACCCGGTCGCGCCACGTAGGCTAATAAACATTCACGCACGCCGGGGAGCTGATCTTATTGGATGTTGGACGGTGAGATCAGGTCTGGCTTGACAGGACCTGAACCCAACCCAGATCTGGTGGCCTCAGGGCCAGTCATTCATCGGGAGGCCCCAACCTTGAACGGTTTTTGAAACAGAACCAGTCGGGGAAGCCATAGCGTTGGATCGCAAACAGCAAGCACCTACGCAGGCGGGCAGCAAATTGTCTTCCCCCTTCTCATGCGCCCATCGAATCGCACAAGGTTCGCTGAAGATGGCTTCGCTCGCACTCACGGCGGCAAAGAGGCAAGGGCTTATTGCTATCGTATTGGCCTTTTTTTGTTTGGGCTAGGCCTTGGCTTGGCTGACCTGAGATCCCGTTGCAGCGTCTGCGTCCCTCACTCAATCGAGCCCAGCCAATCCCCACCTCCATCTGTTGGCGGACACGGCGGCCAGTTGATCCCTGTATGAAGCAGACAAGGCAGGCGCCGTCTGCGAGGTGTGGCCAGGGGCTGCGATTCATTGGTTGATGGAGGCTTCTGATCGCCAGTTCACTGATACTGCCGGTCCTGTGCGAAAAAAACTGCGCGCGCGCAGAGGGGCAGGACGTTCGCGCCGTCCAAACATCGTTTACCGCCGATGCTATTTTGGCCGTTGCAAGCGGCTGCTGGGTTTGGCATTAGGTTTCCTCCCGGCGAACCGTCGCATTGGACGGCGCAAAACAGGCGGCGCAAATCCGGGCCTGTTTACGCTTGCCTGTGCCTGATGCGATGCGATGCGATGCGATGCGCGGCCCTGCGCTGCGCAAGATGGGCACAAGTACATACACATAGACATCCACTCTGCATGCCCAGCCAAGTGAAGTGCCTCTGAACTAACCTCCAGCTAACCATTACTATTGTGGACCCCGGGTTGATGGTGTCAGGATGGTCCAGCAAAGCAGCGTCGGCTGCAGGTCGCGTGCCATTCATCTGTGGTTGTGCGCACCCTTGATGGCCCATACCACGTCGACTAGCGGAGCAGAATGCATGTCAGTTGTTGCGCCTCTTGGGTTGAGATCGCAGCTGGACAAAGAAAAGAGTGTGGCGACGAGGGAGGGGTCGTATGGCCCATCACGCATGCCGGCCAATCTGAATTGTGCTAGTACCACCACATGCATAGATGCTCCTGTATGGTTTGGCTCCGTTTGGGTTCGTTTTGATTTTGGCTTGGCCTGGAAGGGTTTCGAACCATTACACCAGTGCCTGGCTAATTGACAGCTTGCTCAGCTCCCACTCGCCGCTTCGGCTGTCCCTCTCTGATAATGATCCCCTCCAGGGAACCTGGATGGCCAAGCCTGCGTTTGGTTTGGCTGGCGCCTGTCCACCTGTCGGGCCTGCATACCTAGGTGCTAAAGTATCGAGGCCCTGCCTGCAGTGTTGTTGTGTTAGCGACAGCCCACTGGTCCCAGCCGCCCGTTTTTCTGGCTGGTTGTGGTACATTGAGTTTATTGGGGCAGCCGGATCAACGTCTCCATCTATGGCGGGGTCGAGGAGGAGGTTGCTGTCAATGAAGCATGTTACTATTGTCGCAGGCTGGTGAATTAGCACTGTAACCGCAAGTGACCTGACGGAAGAAATGATAATGGAATGGAGGGCCTCTAGGGCTGGGTGCCACTGGCTGACCGTAAGTCGGTCCATCCCATCCATTCAATCCATGTCGCTTTTCGTGAATACTCGGTGCGGACTTGCGCAGGCATTAATAGGGCATCCGAGTACAAATCGGACCCTCGTTATACCG